GCCATGCACTCAGTTCCCGCCCCCACCCCGCCATCCACAGGCGCCTATGCAGGTTTTACTGCTCCAGGCAGCAATATTGCTCCGCTAGCCACGTGAATGTGCCTGAGGCCCTGAGCTGTGACCAACACAGGCTTGCATTTCTGTAAGCTCCAGCCTTTATGTTACATGTTTACAAAAGCTCTCAAAGTAACCTTTGAACTATTACATATGAAGTACTATTTCACAGGCCCAGAACCATAGAAATCAGCCAACAATGAAAAACTGCAAAAATGGTACTACTCACCATATCTCCTGGTCTGTCTGCAAAGCCTCCAGTCTCTTCATCTTGGCACGCTAAAATGAAGCTGCGCAGTTTTTCTCTGTCAATCCAGTGAAGCCTCCCAATTATCTTCAGTGAGGCCAAAACCCACCAGGAATAGCACACATCCGGTAACTACAAGGGGGAGAAACCAGTTAGACTGCCGGCACTATTACCGCTCCATTTCTGTAGATTTGATAGAATTTTATGTCTAATCCCATGCTCCAACACTGGGGAAGTGAGCAAGGGGGTGTCGGGTAATGGTGGACACAAGCCAGAATTAAAGAGCCTGAGGCAGGCCAGGCGTTGGTGGCACACGCCTTTAATCCCAGCACTCGGAGAGTTCGCGGTCTCCAGAGCAAGTGCCAGGATAGGCTCCAAAGCTACAGAGAAACCCTGTCTCGAAAAACCAAAAACAAAAAGGGAGCCTGAGGCAGCACAAGTGCTACAGTTCAGGCCACTTAGGCTATGCACAAGAACTGCAACCAAAACCCAGGAACAAACACTGGGTGAGGTGAGAGAAACCACTCCCCACACACTGGTGCTCACACCAACTCAGTACTAGGTGGCAAGTATACATTAACTTAAATCTTAGTCTAGTTTTCAGCTGAGGATATCAGTGTAGACTCATGAAAGCTGAGACAGGGTTTTCTAGGCAAACTGTTTTCCACTAGTCTGTCCAGGTGGACACACCTGAGAATTCAGCCTGCAGATCCTTCAGCTCGAACAATCTGCATCTTACTGAGCTCCGTGACTAATAAGCACATTAAGATATCCTAGTTTGTTTGAGCCAAAGTTCAAACACTAACCCTGCTCAGAGACTACCCGTGGGCACACCTCTCCACCCACCACATGAGATAGCAGATTATCTGTCCCTCACACACAGCAAGCCCCACACAGAACTAACTACAGATGAAATTCTGTTAGTTATACTTCTGTGCCAGCATTTCCCACAGCAAACATACTACATGGCTACAGATCAAATGCTCTGCAAAAATAAGTATCCTCTTGGTGTCGGGGGCAGCTTTGGGATGGGATGGCATGTCTAACATACTTCATTTCATTCAAGTTAAATTTTTTTGCTGTGCCTGTGTTACGGCACAGCCTATTCTGTGTCTACTATGCATGTTACCTGATGAGCCTGGGTTAAGATCCCTGGCTATCCTGGGGCTCCCCAAACAGACCAGACTGGCTTCAAATCCAAAGATCTCATGCCTGTGCCTCCCAGGTGGTGTGTTTCAATTAAACGCTGAGCCCACCCAGGATCTTTTTTGAGCACACCATGGTAGAAAATGCACTAAGTTAGTCAGATAGTACCTGCACACCAAGTTCTACTTTTACTATGACCAGTCACTCTGAAATTAAGCCAACTCTTAAGCACAGAGCACCACCCAGTCAGGTTGTAACAGAGAGTCATTACAATACCTTCTCTGGTCTTCCATTGAGCCCGCCTGAGGGCAACTGGCGTTCACAAAGCCACCAACCAAGCAAGTCAGAGTTCACTTGATGCAACTGACTGGTTATGGCCAGGAATCCTGTGCAACAATAGATCTAAAATTACAGACATAAAGTACACAGGTATAATTTAATAGTGAGTGACAAGCACTACCAAAACTATTAAGACTCCATCTTGTATCAGGGTGTTTTATTTTTTTAAAGATTTTATTTATTATGCATACAGTCTTGTGCCCGCATGCCAGCATAGAGCACCAGATCTCATTCAAGGCGGTTGTGAGCCACCATGTGGTTGCTGGAAATTTAACTCAGGACCTCTGGAAAAACAGCCAGTGTTCTTAACTGCTGAGCCATCTTTCTAGCCCCAAGGTGTATTATTAGGGTCAATGTCTCAGTGAAATGCCACACTTGGAATACAATTTAGAAAATGCTCTGTAGAGAAGCAAATGGCATGCTGACCTGGACACAGTGGATTAGGTTAGAAGGCTTTCATTGTTTAATTAAAGTTAAAGTCACACATGGAGGCTCATGCCTGCAATCCCAGGTAGGGATTCATTAGAGAACTAAAGCTGTGTATTCACCACATACCCCAAACTTTACCTCACAAGGTGTGGCTATTTACAACACAAACTTATTTTAAAAAATTGCTCATCTTTTCTTTTTTGGTTTTTTGAGACTGGGTTTCTCTGTGGCTTTGGAGGCTGTACTGGAACTAGCTCTTGTAGACCAGGCTGGTCTCGAACTCAGAGATCCACCTGCCTCTGCCTCCCTTAATCCTCTGCTGGGATTAAGGATTAAAGGAATGGGCCACCAATGCCAGGCTTGTTCATCTTTCAATATAGGTTCTTGTAGGGAGACACTGTAGCCCCGCCTCCTAGGAGCTAGCTACTGGTGTGCTTGACTCCGCCTGTCAGGGCGTGGTCAGGGGAGGTTCAGGATGACCCCAGGGTGAATTCTTAAGGGGGTCTCTTCTGGGAGGCCTTCTCTCTGGCTTTTGCTTGGCCCGTATAATTTGAATACAGATATCATAACCAGTAACTTCTCGTTATAGGTTCTCTCCTAAATCTTAATAGCAAAATTACCTGGCCGGCGTGAGATTCGGAGCCCGGTCTGCACCCAAATCCACCATCAAAGTTCATACAGGACAAAACAAATTCAATTGCCTTTTCCACATTAATAGCATCAAGCTTGCCCTACAAAAAGAAATAAAATATATTACAACTACCCAGAGCACTCACCAATGCTTAATTAGGTCCCTCAACAAATTCAAAGCTTACCAAGAGAGCCAAAGTTGCCACAGCACAAAATGAGAACCTGGTATCAATTTCTCCTGAAAGATAAAAAACAGCCAAGGCAGTCATATAGATGCTACAAGTTTTCCACTAACAATTTCATTCAATTTCCCAAAGCAGGTTAACTTATATTTATTTAAAAATGGAGGCAATCCCCCAAAACATAAGGAAACCAGCTAGAATAGAAACTAACAGCCTTTCTAAGTAGCTCAGAGGACCCCAAAAGGGAAGAAACCTACAAAATGCAAGGACTATTATGCCAGTAAATTCAAGTTAATAATGTTAACACCCTATCTTACAAGAGGTTCATATCCCACAAAGCAGCTGGTCTCAGGCCTGCATTTTGTTCCACCCCAAACAAATTATCTACATTACTCAAATAATTTTTCTATGTCCCAACTCAGGTACTTAGAGTTTTGATAAACCTTTAAAGACTTCCTCTTTTCAGGGAGTTTAGCTACCGAATATTGGGGATAAAACTTGAACCTACCTTATCTTTTTAGAGTGTGGTGTGCTGACAAACCAGCACGGGGCATGCTGGGACTTCCAGCAGGCCATTTATTCCAGTTAGACCAACTGCTTAGTGGGACCTGAAAAGATGAACAACTTGAAATCTTATGATTACTACCAAGATAAAGATGTTCTGCGTATGGAATAGCGGACTGAAACAAATCTTACCCCAAATGTCTCCAGCAAAGGAACCATCTTCTTTCTGTAGACTCTGGACATAGGCCACAACTTTATCTACATCGATGGCATGAACACTGTCATACAGAGTCAGAATCTGAAAAGGCAAGTATCCAAGAGTAGTTGTCACCAACTGAAGAAGGCCTTCCATGCTGCACTACCAGTTTCCCAAACACACAAGCATGTATCCTGAAGTTAACGCTAGTTATTCCCCCCTAGTCACAGTTTTGCTACACAAACCATTGATAATCTCAAACTCAAACCACCCTCTGCTCTTTTCTAAAACCAATGTTCACCGTAGCCAGAGTCAGCCACAGGGGAAATTAGCCTCCAAGGTCTCAGCATCACTTGAGAATTTGCATCAAGTTAGCATTCAGCTAATACATGCCAGGACATCACCGACCTTGCAGGAAGGACTTCTGACATAAGATACAGATTTCACTGTCCTCCCCCAAACCAGATCCAGTCACCTACCTGGACAGCACTGAGAGTGTAGAGCAGATGCGGGTCGTGTCCAATGCTAGCGCTGATTCCTCCACACTCGTGCTGGCACGACTTGATGAACACCAGTATCTCTTCTCTGTTCATTCGATCAAGTTGCCCCATGAGATCCATCACCGTCAAGCCCCAATAGATGCCGCTCATTCTCAAGTATTCAGACATACAGTATTCCTAGGGGAAGTTTCTCAAGCTCATCAATCCGTCCCACATACGACACACCTCATTTTTAAGACAGTCAGGACCAACTTTAAATGAGGCTTTAGAGTCTCCCAAGTGCCAACTACAGGCAGATAGAGCAAAAGCAAGCAATATCTCACTGTTTACCAGACACCAACCTACAAATGAAGTCCATGAATATGGAAATATAAACACTGTTCAAGATGGAACCCACGTGGGTTTCAGAACCTTGTTGCAGCTAATAAAGCATTATTTTATAAGCATTCATTCAAGTGAGAGCCTCAAGGAGGTCCACAGGACATTTAGGCCTATAACCCCCCCCCAAAATGAGGGCCTAAGTTATGGAAACAGCCAAGTGTCGAGTGTTTACTAACAACACGTGTTTGCTAAGACTCAGGCAAACAGCTGCTGTATGGAAAATATTTTATGTAAGTGATTCCACTTTGGAGAGGTCTCTGAATTTCCCATGGGCTTCCCCCCCCCAACTCAGCCCCTTGGAGCTGACATCACAGGGGTGTGGAAATGTCCCCAACCTCCCGTCAGCGTTTCTCCAGATATGCTACCACTATTATGTTCAGGCAAACCTTTCCAAGGTCTCAGCGTAATTCTAGAGCTAAAGTGTGATTACACATCAGCAGAATTCAGATAATACATGCCAACACATCATCGACCTTAAAGGTTGTACCCCAGCCAGAAAGGAGCAGACCCCTCCTGCCTGCAAACCCTAACCTACTTCAGAAACGCCTCTTGCACAGCTGTCATGCTCGACAGAGCTAGTGCTCACCACCACTTAGACTTGCCAACCCAAGGCCATACGCACATAGTCATCCTTCTTGGAGCCGTACGAAGCGATGTAATCCGCGTGCTTCTCCAGCAACAGGGTGTCGGGTGCATCGGACTTGATAGTGACATCCTTCTGCGGTGTGCCCTTGCGGAAAAAAGGCAGACATTTCATCGTTATTTACATCTTCTGCCCGTGACGTCCCAGACCCGAACACGTAACCGGCACCTTTCAGGTCTCAGAGTAATTCTAGAGCTAAAGTGGTTGATAATCAGCTTCAGATTCAGAATACATGCCAGCTCATCACTGACCTGAAATGACCGGTTTTGCGCTCGCCCTGGAATGGCGCCTACCAAAGCAGGCACGTTCCTGGCTAACGAGCCTGACGCTTCCGACAGAGCCCCTGCGACAGTGCTCCCGTGTTGCTCCCGCTTCCTCCCTCCGTGTCAGGCACAAGTCGGCCAGGCCCATCACCCACGCTGAGAGTCGGCTCTCGGTCTCTGCCAGGAAGCCCGGCCTGGCCTGAGCTCCCCGTGCGGACCCGGCTGGTTTGGAAACCAGGCGATCCCGCCTGTCCCTGCCTCTGCCTCTGCCTCTGCCGTGACGGGGCTGAGGTGTGGGCCCGGCCGGCTCCCGTCCACCCCAGTTAAAAGCGCAGCTTTGAATCAGAGTCTTAACGATTTCCTGGCATCTGTATGTTCCAAGTCATTCCCAATGAAAGAAAAAACCTCAAAATCAGCTTCACCGGGGGTGGAAACCCAGCCGCGGCGGGGGTGGAGAAAGCAGTCAGGCCTGCCAAGAGGCAG